TCATGTATCATCATCACCATCTTTATCACATCATGTATCATCATCATATAAGGTGTTTTTCATCTATTGCCATGATGTATTATCATCAGCACGATCATGTTTCTTCATTATCATCACCATCATCATCATCACATCATGTATTGTCATAATCAGATATAACTAGCTAAAACTAGTGTGAGCTGCGTCGGTGTTTCTAATGAAACAGTAATGATGAAAAGGTAAATTATACTCCGTGAAAATCTTTTCACGGTGTATAATTTACCTTTTCAACATTATTGTCATAACCATGTAAGTTTTCTTCAATGACCAAAAGTTTACTTATGAGATAAACTTTTTTTGTTATTATATGTCTGCATGTCTTAATGTGGTGTCTAATAGAATTGAATATTATTCCTTCTTCAGGTGTATTGAGCTAGACTGTTGGGATGGACCTGGAGATGAACCACAAATCACCCATGGCAACGCAATGTGTACGAAAATTTATTTCAAGGTAAACAGTCTGTCYAGTAAAATAATTTTCGTTTAAAACATACGTGACCCTACCTCCCTTAAAACGAGCAGTTTTGTCAAAATAAGATACAGAAATGAAAAGAGCATATCGGCATTAGTAGGGAGACGGGATTTCAGCTCATAATAAGCGAAAAGGAGAATTGAATGATATAAAATTGAATGTTTTATAAGGATTTGTATTGGAAAATGCGCTGGATGGCAAAAGCTTACCAGCCAACACTTTTCCCATATAAATCCTTGTAAAATGTTTGATTTTATATTTAATGTCATTTCTTCCATAGTCAACATCTCAAGCTGAAACTTCGACCTCTTACTAACTTTGAGATGCTCTTTTTATTTCTGGAGTTCATTTTGACTCATTTGCTCGTTTTAAGGGGGATGGGGTCACGTGACCAGTAAGTGCAAGTCGTCTATTCTCACTGCCACTGCGCAGTTACTCCTGACTCCTGTCCCCACGGGATCAAGTACTTTTATTACTTACCATATTCATTATACCTTTTTCAWGTTCCAAATTACTGCTGTGTTCCTTGATTACAGACTCATTTGCACAGGGTTAGCCTCGTATCAGTGTTTAAATATTCACAAATACCAACGGTAAAGTAAAGAATGCACAACTTCAGCAATACAAACACTTTGTAATTCCACGGATTTTTACTGGAATACATAAATATTCTGCACAAAATCGAGGCTAACCCTGAGCAACAGTGAACTCGAACCTGGAGTATTAATTGATTGGTGGCTTTCTTTCAGGATGTCATTGAAGCCATTCGTGATACTGCATTCCTGACTTCTGATTATCCAGTCTTATTATCTTTTGAAAATCATTGCAGGTAACTTAGTAATATAATATAATAATAATATCATAGTAATAATATAATAGTAATATACAGTAACTTGAAGGTTTTGTTCATGAATTGTTGGCACATTATTATGGTTTTGTGCATGGCAGTATTTTGAATTATCTGGATTATTATCAGTCATACCATTTTTCATGTTAAAAGATTTTGGTTGATATATTTTTTATGGAATTAAATTCCAATTGGTCAAACTTGGTCATTGATTGATATCGAAGTCGATTATCACTCACATGGATTATCATGGATTATCATGGTCAATCAGCTGCTAGTGCAGTGTGCTCTCTGTGGATGAACAAACTAAAGCCTGGTTTTCACTAGCAACGCAAGAACAAGAACAAGCGCAAGCACAAGTAGTGAAAACGAGACGCAAGCACAAAAGGCTTTTACTAGTACAACCAAATGCAGGCGCAAGAGCAAGAAAAGGAAAATTTGTTGATACCTTGCGCTTGTGTCATCGTGGTTTTCACTATGAAATAAGGTCTCTTGCGCTTGCACTTGCTTCTGCGCCTCTGCTTGCGTCGCTAGTGAAAGCCAGGCTTAAGGGATTGATGGAAAAATTTAAAGGACGGACGGACGTACAAAATTGATGGATGGACGGACGAATGGATGGATGGATGGATGGACGGAAAAATGGATGGATGGATGGATGGACGGACAAATGGATGGATGGATGGATGGATCGCTAAATAAATAAACTAATGAATAAGAAAATCTCGTTTCAGCAAACAACAACAATACAAGATGGCATGCTACTGTGTTGACATTTTTGGTGATGCTTTGGTAACCAAACCACTTGATTCATGGCCTGTAAGTCTATGTTTGCTATACATATAATATTAATATATCTCTAATGCATAGAGGAAGCAGTAGACATTTTTTTGTGAGGACATAAGGCGAATAATTGTTATAGTACTTTTAACACAAAGTGAATTTAATACATAACGGAGAAAGAGATTTATTATATTCACTTGTGTAATAATATTAATTCATATAAGTATAATTTTAGACTTGAATATAGAGTTTCTCGAGCTGTGAATGGTCGAGCGACCGGTGATTCTGAGACGATAGTCATCCCTGGAGCGGTAATTATGAGGTTTCCCAAAGTTTTCCAGATCGGAAGAAATACTACATTTTTTAACTCCTGAATTTCGACTTTTCTCTGATATTCAAAGTCTAAAATTATAGTAAAACAATTATTCCCCTCAGGCTCAGTGAATATGGTGAATATTTACCTCGCCACTCGAAGACTCGCGGCAATTGCTAAATAATGTCTAACGGTTACTGGTTAGTACTGCGAATCAGGCCCCGAAAAAAGCCCGCAAACACGGAAACACTCGGCATCGATGAAATTCAATATGGCCACTCTTCCAACGACAACTTCGTTATGACGCCTTGATAAATGTTGAAAGTTTGAAGGAAAACGCCTGACGTCGAACTGCAGTTTGAGGTTTGCGGGGCTAGCAAGAACGTCGGGCTAAAGGTCTCTATTAATCTTTGAATTATTCAATTCCATAGCTTGAAGAGGGGAGACCATTGCCTTCACCAAACCAACTGAAAGGAAAGATTTTGATCAAAAACAAGAAACTTAAACCTGAACAAGAAGCAGAAGGAGAACTAACTTATGGTAAAGTTAAAATGTCATTTATCTGGGGGAAAGTGCCAGGACATTTAGTCATAGAAACCTTAATTGCATTGATTTCCTAGAGGAATGGTTCTAGGGGACAAAACAATAGGCCAACTTTTCTCATACAAAAAAAAAAAAAAAAAAAAAAAAAATCCATCGCCAGGACATTTAGTTATAATAATAAACAATCTTTATTCAGGAATGCCTAAGTCACATACGTGTTTTACATTAGGGTCCTGCAAAAGTTATAGAAACCTTGCATTGATTTCCTAGAGGAATTGTTCTAGGGGACAAAACAATAGGCCAACTTTTCTTACTTGTATGCAAAAAAAATCCATCGCCTTGTCCCTCAGAACAAATCCTCTTGGGACTCCGTGCAGATGATCTGATAGAGGCCAAGCAATCTTATATCTTTATTTTTCACTCCAGATTTTAGCGATTTTGAGTCCATTTGTTCCACGCTAAGGAGAGATAGTGGTGTGAAGGAAACAGCAATAGTGGATGACAACCTTGAAGAAAAGGAGAGCAACGGTAGTAATGAGGAAACGGAGGCACAAACCAAAGAATTTTCATCTTTTTCAATTGGAGATAAGCCTCTTTCACCAGTGGAACTGAAAGATATTTGGGAATTCAGTAGTAAAGTTACGGCTGATATTATCCATAATGCTGCAACAAAAACATCACATACAGATAAAACTATCAATGACGTACGGTTAGAAAGTATCAAGCAATGTCATACAGTATCACAATATTCATATTTATTAAAAAATGGACTAGACGAAGACCAAGCAGGACAACAGAACTTAAATGGAACAAATAGCGATAGCATGGATATTTTTGATAAAGTTAGTAATTGTAGTTGTAGTGACTGCGAAGAAGATCCTGAAACACGGACACCTCGTAAAGGAAGAATTTATTGTATCAAATGTGGGCATTACGTCGTACATAAGAAAATGTCTGTGATATCTATGGATTCAAACTTAAGTGAGGATTCTGATATATCTACGTCTAGCTCAGGTCAATCAAGTCCAGATGAATTTGTTGGACCACAGACTCCCACTGTAACTGTCGTCATTGATGGCCATGATGATTTTAATACAGAAAATAAAAGTGATGATGTCACACCTACGCCTTCACCACATCCATCTCCTGCGACCACGCCCACAAGGGAAAGTATGACAAATATTGGTTTGACGTCGATCACAGAAGTATSGGATTCTAGTGAAGTGAACGGCAATGCGGATATTGCAAATATTAATAATAATAATAATTTAAAGTTTACTGTTGAAACTAAAAGTAGCTTTACTTCTTATATAAGAAAGGATTCTGGTAATAAGAAACAAAATAGTCTTGTAAATGCTTCAACGAGTACTGTATCGTTTTCAACTTCCACAAGTGTTTCCCAAAGTCAAAGCATTGACTCGATGTCATGCGTCGAAAGGAAGGATTCCAACACTAGTATGTCTTCTGAGGTGTTTCCAAGGAAAGAGAGCCTCGCAAGCACTAATAGTATTGAATCAAACTGCGACGAGGATGAGGAACGGGATGTTGTTGGTCCATTTAAGTATAAAAGAGACCTGGAAAAAACATTTGGTAGCTCTCTTAGGCTGAACATGATCCCTAAGAAGGTAAGTACGATGTAGATTACGTTCCCTACGACTTACCTGACTGTTGTTTACGATAACTCAAAATTGATTGGTTATGAAAACCGTAAATATTGATAACCCGCACCCATATCAAAAAAAAATTTGTGATGAAAAAATGTTGTGTCAGTACATTAATAGTAGGCTTCCTAAGAAAGTGTTTTAATATTTATGGTCGTTCGTGGTTATAGTACGAACAGACTAAAAACAGTGGACGTGCGTAAGGAGCAACCGTTATTTAGTCGGTAGTTTTCACTTTATTTGTGAGATAATAAGACTTTAACGATGTGTGTTATGTAGGGTTCAAGATCAGCAAGTTTAACTCCGGACGAGGCAGATCTGTTAACGTCATTGCAACCAAGCACCACCACTGGCAATATCAATCCATTTCTTTCTTCACTTGTCAACTACATTCAACCTGTCCCATTCCAAGGATTTGAAGAAGCCGAAAGTAAGGCAACCTGATGGTGCACTTTCAAATTAAATTTTCAAGAATATATTTTATAGGACCGCTCATTAATTAAAGGGACGGTCGTTAATTACATGGGCGGGCGTTTATTTTTCATACAAACCCAAAGGAAAGGCCACAAACATTTGGGCAAGCCTATACGGGGGAGAGGGGGGATTCACCTTTTTTCCTACGAACTTGTAAAAGTAGAGAAGAATTAAGGAAAAAGGGTGTAATTTTTTTTAAGCAGGAAAGGGGAGGGCCTCTTTTAAAATATGCAGATCAAAAGTAAGATGCGCCAGCCCTCCCCTCTTTAATTAATGACTGGTCCCTTAAGATCCGACATTTGCTTCTAAAAAAATTGCATTTAGTATAGGCAATAGTTTATCAAATTACCAGGAAAACGAGGTTTTTACAKTCATGTTTGTGGAGACACTTTTAAAATGCGTATACATTTAGGATGGAATATTCCCAATTGTAAATATTCGTTTTCATATCTAGGGAAAAACTTGTCGTACCACATGTCGTCGTTCAATGAATCTACRGGATTTCAGTTGGTGAAAACAACTCCACAGGATTTTGTAAAGTATCCTTTATCACGTTTTGTTCTTAAATTCTAGGCTCCATGAAATGTTTCTACTATGCCTTGACAGAAGCCCTTATTGACCTTGATAATTCTCTTATTATTAGTCAGACTTTCGTATTGATTTACTAAGTCGAGAAAAAAAAAACTGCAAAGATATCCTGATTAAATCTCAAGAGGATGTACCTATAAGAGGTGTTTTAAGAATTCATACCGTTTCTTTAACCTGATGTAAGATACAACAAACGGCAGTTATCGAGAATCTACCCCAAAGGTAGTAGAGTGGATTCAAGTAACTACATGCCACAGGTAAGACCAAAAGGATTATGAGAAGTTGCACCATGTCATCATGTGTCATCATCATGTTGCACCATATCATCATGTGTTGCACCATGTCATCATGTGTCATAATGTGTTGCACCATATCATCATGTATTGCTCCATGTCCTCATGTGTCATCATCATGTTGCACCATGACATCATATGTCATCACCATGTTGCACCATGTCATCATGTGTCATCATGTGTTGCACCAT